CTACAAGCAACTTTGCTAAAATCCCACACAGCACACATGCAGCGTCATGTATAAATACACAATGTGGTTAGACTTCCTCTGTGTGTCATTGCTTTTGTCTGTCTTTGTATCTCCAACAGCCTGGGTGTCACATGCACACACACACACACATAAAACCAGATGTCTGCTCTTCCTCCTCCTGTATGATGTGGAAAGCAGTTGCTGCCCACCCGGGCGTATCCATGGCAACTGGCCTGCGGTTGGTTGACAGGGCGGGACAGTGACATCACTGGTCTCTTTCAAGATTGCCACAGAGATAGTAACACCGGCAGACACAGAAGTATAAAAAGAGGACGAGGAAGAAGTAGAGGAAGGGAGGAGGGACAGTGTGAGGTCACATACAAAACACACGAAACACATAAACCTCTTTGCAGCTGAGAAATTTCAGGTTGATTTGGTCTTAGATGTCTGGTTTTGCAAGTCTACACTTCTGGAAATTTTTATATGGCTGTTTACTGTATAGTAATTAATTATGTAACAATGTGTTTACTGCATGCTATAAAAAGACCATATGATGAGTAAAGCAGGTAGAGGCACTAAAGTAACATCTGCTGAAAGGTAGGACCTTCTGGAAGATTTATAAACGTTATTCACAGTAGGTTTTTATCCCCTCAAAAGAGTAATACCCGGTGTAACAAACCCCAAAACTGAACAATGGCACCATGTCACATGTCATTCTTTACCTCATAACACAACACTGGGCAGGATTGATATTAGAGAGGAAAGTGGCAAATGCAGTGATTCTACCATAGGAGGGGTCATGAAACAAAGCAGTTCCATTATGTTAGGTCTTCTATTTCTGTGCCTGCAGTTTTGGTCATGTTTGAGGTTTGATCACTAGAGGGTGCCAGACACATGACCAGTGTGTTTCTTTTGCTCTGAACATAAGTTAATGACCATACAGGGGGCTGACGCATTCAAAGACACAGTGATCTAATCTTGTAGGAAATGTTGCCTTTGAGAAGCTTCATGTGTTAATCCAACTTCTAAATAATGTAGTCTGCTTTGGTCTTTGTAGACTGCATTATGATGTTTATATTATTTTATATGTAACCATTTGTCTTCCACCTCGTTCCTATCTTCTTCCACATCATCTCCCTAGCCACTTCTTACCTACCCTCCCTACCAACTGTCTTACTAACTCAATATTTTTTTACAGTGGGTAAATTCATTAGGTGCCACAGACACATTAAAGTCCCTAGAGGAGTATAAAACTGATATTAGAGTAGTTTTTCATTAGACGGGACAGGTCGTACTCAGAGAGAAGGATTTGGATTTAAATTAAAAATTTATTTATTACTACTACAACAATTTATTCTGGGATGGCAATTTAAAGGATTTATGCAAAATAGATGTCAACATGATGAAATGCGCCAATATTTCTAACATTTGCTTCGTATGACGCCCCTTACAGTGCCTGAAGCAGTAGTGAGGTAGTCAACATGAGAAACCTGCGTCCCCCTCCGGTCACAAAATGTGTTTCTTGCCCACTTTGGCAAGACCTCATGCAAGTTACAGGAAGCAGAAGTAAAAGCCATTTCCCGCCATAAAGGGAAAAAAAGGAAATGACATAGGGAGGAGCAGGGAAGAGTAGCCACATGAGAGGCAACGGCGTACAGACATCTGCTACAGAGCTAAAAGACATAGGGGAGAGTCAAACAAGACCCAATCTCCAGCCTGATGGGCACAGTGACTGACAAACAAGTTTGTTTGTTAGCGGTCCAAAAACAGCATCTGTGGATGTTAATGGCTCCATTCATTCGTATATTGTAGCACACAAGTGACAGTTTGCAAGCTATCTTGGTTGCTAAAAGGACAATACGTATATTAAAAAGTCATATTAACTGCTGTCTCGTAACTGTCTGCAAGCAGTTTATGCTACAACAAAGGAGGTCAAATAAAAGTGGATTATACAACACAGCTAGTTAATCACAGTAGCTCCCTCAGTTTTGGCCTCTCTCCCTTCCATCAAAGGTCAGCACTTGTCAGAACAGCTTGCTATTGGTCAAACTGACTATAAATGACTGCCTGCTGAGACTCAGTTTGATTGATAGACAACTTTTAGTGCCTGTTATTGTTAATAATAATTGTGCATATTGATTTAAACATGTCTCCAGTTCCTTTCCTGTTTCTGCTGCTGTCATGATACAACATACAAGTCAGTAGATTTTTTTTTGTTCTTTGTTGAACGAAAGATTAAATAGCTGTTACTCAATTATCACAATAAGTAAAGTAAGGTCTAGGTATAGCGATGTAGCACAACACTTTTGAGCAAAACTAATCAATGCAGTTCCATTAGAATGAATTGGTTTTCCTTCAAAATGACTGAACTATGTAGAAGTATACTGAAAATACTACTTTCAGAAGAATAAGATAGTAGAATAATATTGTTAAATTAAATCATTACCAATGATTGATCGGCCCTTAAACCTGCCTATCCTTCTTCTGGCACCATTCCTCTCATCCAAACCTTTCCTCTCTCGTCTTTTCCATTTTTCTTTTAAATTGATCTCATGTCTGTACATTTCTTTTACATCACTGTACTGATATATGTGGTGTAGGGCAGGTTGTCGGCCCATTCTGTTCTAAGTGTAAGACGGACTGAGTGTGTAAGATTGTCAGGACTTCACTTCAGGTCATTTTGCACACATTACTTTGTTACAATTCTTGTCCAGAATAGTCTACAAATACATTTCAAGTAGTCTGCTCACATCAACTGATTGCACATTGTGGTGCAGTCCTTGCAGCTCAGTCCAAGGTTGGGTGATTGTTTCTCATACCAACAAGGCTAAAGGTAAATATAGGATGTACATTACTATATTTATAAATAACCACTGTCTCACTGCTGTTAAGACTCCAAGACCATAAATCAAAATCAAATGTAAAGTTTGAAAAAAATGCTTAGAAACTACAGAAGAACAGGAAAGAGTGTTGAAAGTTGCAGCACAAGCACCGAGGTTGTAATAAGTTACCTTTACCTGTTCAATGTCAACAAACTTACAATATGCTGTTTGTATACACAAAATAAATGCAGCCAAGTTCCTATCAAGTTCCAGTCCAACATGAGCCTGATATGCTGCATTATAATGGACAATGCACTCTGATAAGATGCTGGCTCTCTTCAGAATTTGGTGTTAAAATAGCCTTCTTGTGTGTTGCTATATTTGTTACATTCCTGCCGTAGAAAGAGACAATACACTGTTGTTTTCAAATACATAGACCTCTAAATTGTCTCTTTACAAGCAACACTGAACGACCTCGAACTGCGCCGATTATTTTGATCCAGACAATGGCTTAAGGGCACAGTTACAAAAGGCCAATTCTGTGATAAGAAAGTGGTCTTCTGTTTTGTTCAGTGTCCAGATGCCATTTAGAGTAGTGTGTGATTACATTCAGCAGAGACAAACAACAGATTTGTGTGACAGATGCAGCCAAGAAAAGCTTTACTTCCTCCTGCAGAACAACTCTACTGTGACTCCAAACACACACACACCAATGCTTCTGCAAAAGATATGTAGATCTTACGACTTTACCTGATTTAATAATAGTAATATATACTGTGTGTAATATACAATTTGGCTAAAGCTTCTGAGGGTATATATATATCAGTGAAGAAGGGTACTTGGTTCACAGAGCTTTGAAAGTATTTCTAGTGCCACAGTACAGTCTTCAGGTAGCTGAAGATCAACTTGAGTAGAAACAGGCAGATGGTGAAAGGATGAGTGAAGACTTTAGGGATCTGTTTCATTAAACCTCAGTGATCAGAGCTGAAGTTCCAGGTTTTCTGGTGAACATTAATGACACAATCCTTGATTTTGTTAGCGCCAACATTTGTTATTATTTATTACAAGTGTCCTCCCTGTTAAAAACTCAACACAGTTGAACTTATTCACACTTAAAACCAGCATTTTCTAAACTGCTTCAGATAAAATGTCTCTCACATGGTGAGCAGTACAGTCAGGACAGCGTGTACTAGTGTTGATATGATGAGCGAGCCCTATTGATTCTAGAATACTGTGGGAAGACCGACTGCTCATGGCATTGTTATGAACCTTAATATCTCCTTTACACGCACACGCTTATACACAAATTCCTTGCGTCCCAGAAGAGTGCATTCTGAAGTGCTGTGAGTGCTGGCGGCCAGTGAGGAAGCAACCCTGGTCCTCCTCCCTGGCTGCTTCCTACTATTGTTACTACATCCATCTCTTAAATGTCCATGTGAGTGTACGTTAGTGTGTATATACATGGTACTGATCTGGAAACTGTCCTCACCAGAAAAAATGGCAGAACTGATTGTGTAGACATTCCTATGGCTAACATTAGTGAGTGTCATTGCCATAAATATGCTACATTTCACTGTTTTTCCTTCAGCAATGTTAAAATGCAACTTATTTTTAATGAACCATGGTGCCCAATTGACTACTAGACTCTAACCTTCTGCTGGGGATGTAGAGATTTGTCCATTGGGCAAAGCTCTTGGCCAGATGGCTGTACATTTTATACCGACCTCCCATCTCTGTCTGGTCATTTCGTGTGTTGGGAGCATCTGGATTATATCCAGATCAGAATTATGCACTTCAAAAGGCTGGTGTAAATGCACCCAAGAGGCACTGAGAACAAGCATAATCTGGTGGCCAAAACCAGGTGGTCTGAGGCACATTTTAACCAGATGTTGTACTGTACAGTGCAGTGTTCTCTCTGCGAGGCACATCCTAAAGAAGAAACATACATTGTTGCACATCCAATTAAATACATTAGCATGTTTCCTTCCTTACTAACCATAGATGTCTCTAGTGTAAATGCACTGTGGTTAAATCCAATCTAGTTCAAACATGCCTTCTCATACAATCTTTTTTTTCCTAGCTTCAAGCTTTCCTTGTGTTTTCCAGTGCACTTTTTTTCCATACATGGAAACAAACTCCTTGATTCTTCAACTTTTCTTGTATTTGCTGTGTTTTCAGGCTGGAGTCTGAAATCGGGGCACTAGAAAGTGAGGAGTCCCAGATATCAGCCAAAGAGCAGGTTCTACGAGAACGCCTGAAAGAGACGGAGCGCTCCATAGAAGACCTGCAGAAGGTATAAGAACGGGAACTGCCCTCGTATGTAACCTTGTATGAGCTATTGAGGTGCTTGGTGAGCTACAAACTGTTGGCTTTGAAACAAGTATGCTAATTAATTCTTAATTCTTCTCTAACTAGTTGGTACTGACATAACTGTCATGTAGTAACTGGACCGTCCCTTACAGGAGTTTTTCAGTTCATGACAATCTGTTTCTAGTTTCTTGTTTAATTACGTTATAATTACTTTAATTACTTTTTTAAACTTTTTTCGTGCAAGTTAGTTGTTTTTTTTCCGAGAGCAAATAAAAAACAGTCTTGTATAGACCCCTTGCTGCTAATTGAAAACATAAGTGTGCTCGATATAAGTGAATGAATTGGGCAGCTTTGTGTCTACAAAAGAAAAAAATAAAATTATTTAATTGCACTGTTAAATAATGAATAAAAATGCCCTTGGCAGTGATTTTGCTGCACATGCTGAATGTTGAAAGGGGCACCATTGAAGAAGTTTCACTGAAATTTGCTTTTCAAACATTTATTGGTTATTGTTAAAGTAGTGACAGGATACTATATCTAATTTTCGAAACCACTGAACTAAGCTTATTATCTAAAATTTAATCTATTCTGTTTATTAAAAAGTTTTGATTACATACACCCTTCAATCATAGTTATTTTTCAAAAACTGAATATATTTATATATATATATCAGTCTGCTTTGACTCATATGCATTATCTTTGGTCTCTCTTTCAGAGTCTGATGACCCAGGATGGAGGTATGACTGATGACACACACACACATTAAAAACGCACAAACACACCTAATTGGGGTGGTGTCCTCCCCTGAGTTATTGTTGTTTCCTAGCAGAGGGGTCCCTCTCTTTCTATTTCTGTGTCTGTGGGTGTGGGGGTGTGTGTGTGTCTGGATAATAGTCTCGCTGAGGCAGGAGAGATGCAGGCCAGAGCACGCTCTTGAACCCCGGCGGACGCACGCATAGACACATATATACCTGCACACAAACACACGCGTGCACTGAAACACACACGCACATACACCCTCAGAACTCGGCTCAGCGAGACTATTGAAGCTCTCACACACACAAGGCCATGACTCTGCAGCCTGCAGTCGTTGGCTTTGTCCCCCCCTATTCACCATCAAGCCCTGTAAGCCCCTAAAGCTTTGTTCCTGCCATCACACACACACACACACACACACACACACACACACACACACACACACACTTCTGCTGCATA